ATAGAAAAGAATGCTTCTGAATTCATTCTACAAGGCCAGCATCACTATGATACAAAAACTAGATAAGATACCACAAGAAAAGGAAAAAGAAAGGACAATATCACTGATGAACACAGATGTAAAAACTCTCAATGAAATATTAGCAAACTGAATTCAACAATACATGAAAAGGATAATATACTACAATCAAATGGGATCTATCTCAGGCATGCAATGGTTCAATATTTGTAGGTTAATCAATGTGACACACCACATTAAGAAATTGAAGAATAAAAACTATATGATCACCCCAATAGACAGAGAAAAAGGTTTTGAAAGAATTCATCATCCATTTATTTAAAAACTCTCAACAAAGTGGGTATAGAGGAAACACACCTCAGCAAAAAAAACAGATGATATGTGACAAGCCCACAGTTAACATTATACTTAATGATGAACATTGAAAGTATCTCTTTTAAGATCAGGAATAAGATAAGGCCCATTCTCACTACTTTTATTCAATATAGTATTGGAAGTCTTAGTTACAATAATTGGAAAAGGAAAAGAAGGAAAAGGAATCCAAATTGGAAAGGAAGAAGTAAAACTGTCACTGTTTGCAGCTGACATGTTTATATATATATATATAATTATATATAATATAATATGTATGTATGTATGTATAATATCCTAAAGATGCATCCCAAAGCTATTAGAACTAATGAATGAATTCAGTAAAGTTGCAGATGCAAAATTAATATACAGACATCTGTAGCATTTTTATATACTAATATCAAACTATCAGAAGGCGAAATTAGGAAAACAATCCTATTGAAATTACATCAGAAATAATAGAATACCTGGGAATAAATCAGAAAGTGAAAGAACTGTACTCTGAAAACTATAAAACATTGATGAAAGAGCTGAAGACTATGCAAACAAATGGAAATATATACTGTGCTCATGGATTGGAAGACATAAAATTATTAAATTAACTGTACTACCCAAGACAAAGTAGAGGTTTGATGCAATCGCTATATAAATACCAAAGAAATTTTTCATAGAGCTGAGCAAGTAGTCGTAAATTTTGTATGGAACCACAAAAGACCCCAAATCCTGAATGCAACCTTGAGAAAGAAGAACAAAGCAGTATCACATTCCCTGATTTTAAACCATACTACAAAGCTACAGCAATCAAAACAGTATGTGAAAGTGAAAGTTGCTCAGTCATGTCCAACTGTTTGTGACCCCATGGACTGTATAGTCCATGGACTTCTCCAGGTCAGAGTACTGGAGTGGGTAGCCCCTTTCTTCTCCAGGAAAGCAGTATAGTACTGAGTTCTCTATTTTGTCCCATGATGTATGTGTCTTTTTTTTTTTTTTTAACAGTATAGTACTGGCATAAAAGCAGACATATAGATTTATGGGACAAAATAGAAAGTTCAGAAATAAACCCACACAGATATGGTCAATTAACTTATGGTAAAGAATATAAGAATGAGGAAAAGAATTTCTTCAATTAGTGGTGTTGGGATAACTGGATAGAGCTATGTAAAAGAATGAAAAGAGACCATTTTTTCACACCATATACAAAAATCAACTCAAAATGGATTGAAGACTTAAATGTAAGACTGCAAATCATAAGATTTCTAGAAGAAAACATAGGTAGTATTCTCTCTTTGAAATTGGTCTTATCGATATTTTTTTGTATGTATCTCCTCAGGCAAGGGAAACAAAAGCAAAAATAAGCAAATGAGAACACATCAAACTAAAACCTCTTGTGCAGCAAAGTAAACCATCAGCAAACTGTAAAGGATGCCTAATGAGTTGGAGAAAAAATTAACAAAAGATATATTTTTAAGAGGTTAATATTCAAAATATAAAAATACTCAGACAAATTGACATTAAAAAACCCAATTAAAAATGGGCAAAGAACCTGAATTGATATTTTTCCAAAGAAGACATACAGATGGTTGACAGACACATGAAAAAAATATTCAACAAAACTAGTCATCAGGGAAATGCAAACCAAAATCATAATCAGATACCACCTTGCACCTATCAGAATGCCTATCATCAGAAAGACAACAAATAACGAGTTTTGGGGAGGATATGGAGAAAAAGGATGTGGACAAACAATAAACTGGTTCAGCTATTATGGAAAACAGTAGGGAGGTTCCTAAAAAGATTAAAAATAGAATGCCCTGTGATCCAGAAATTTCATTTCTGCATATTTACCTGAAGGAAACAAAAACAGTAACTCAAAAAGATATAGGCACCCACATTTTCAGTGCAGCATTATTTACAATAACCAAGATAATGGAAGCAACCTAAATGTCCATTGTTAGATGAATGGATAAACAAGATGCAATATTACTCTGCCATAAAAAATGAAATCTTGTCATTTGCAATGACAATTACAATGGATGTAATTCAGAAGGCATTATGCTCAGTGAAATGTCTGAGAAAGACAAATACCATATGATCTCACTTTTATGGTGAGTATAAAAAACAAAGTGAAAAATGAAAATAAACTTACAGATTCAGAGAACAAATAAACTTCCCTTAGTTTATTTTGAGTATTTTCATTACTTTTTTGTTATTGTTAAATCAAGAGGATGCTATATAAAACATCTAGCATAAAATTGTAGGTCTCAAACTTGATTTTTCTTTCAACCTGCATTAGCTATTATTATTATTACTGTTAAGTGCTTTATTTCTGGGTTTCTATAAAGGTAGAAATAGAAAATTGAGGAGAAGAACTTCTCTCTAGCTTTCTACTGTGTTTTTTTTTTTAAACTCTTAAATTTTGAAACAGTAATAGAGTCACAAGATAAGTAAAGATAGTACAAGAGATCCCATACACTCTGGTTTTCTGCAATGGTTATATCTTATTCAACTGTAGTACAGTTGCAAAATCAGGAAGCTGACATTGATATAATGTTTGTGTTTCCCACTATATAATTTTTTTTCACACATGTAGATTCAGGTAACTACCACCCCAATTAAGACATGCAACAATTCAACCAACAAAAATCTCCTTCATACTACACCTATTTGTTCTCCATCTCTATAATTTTGTCATTTCAAGAATGTCATGTAAATAGAATCATACAGTATCTGACCCTTCAAGATAACCTTTTTTTCACTCAACATAATGACCTTAAGATTCTGAGAACATTTTGGTTGTTTGCAGTTGTTACCTATTATCAATAAAGCTTCTATGAACAATTGTGTATTTTGTTTTGTTTTCAATCCCATTACTTACAATTTACCTATACCATTGTATTTGAAGTGAACTTCTTGTTGAAAACATAGAATTGTGTCATGCTTTTTCTGATCCATTCTGCTAATCTCTGTCCTTTAATTGATGTATTTAGACCTTTTCTATTTGTTGTAATTATTGATATGGTAGGCTTAAGTCCACACTTCATTTTTTGTTTTCTGTTTGTTCTCTCTGGGTGTTTTCATTTTTCTTTTTCCTGCCTTCCTTGAACATGTTTTAGAATTCCACTTTGATTTACCTATAATGTTTTTAAGTGTATTTCTTTGTATAGCTTTTAAAGTAATGCTCTAGGTATTACATTATATTTGCATATCATGGTCTACTGGACTTGACATTTTGTCAGTTCAAGTGAAGTTTTGAAACCTTACCTCCCTTTACTTCCCTTTATTCTCCTCTTCTTGGAGCTTTTTTTTTTTTTTTTTTCCTGTTTGTACCAACTGGTGTTACTGGGTTCTTGGTTTCTCCAGCTCACAATTCCAGGGTACATGAGGCAAAACGAAATGCCAGGGAATTCACCACTTTGTTGTTCCCTGAATAGCAAGGAATTTAGACGGTTTGGCTTCTTCCAACTTTTCAGAGTCTGCTTTTGTTTTATATATGACTTCCAGGGTTTTTAGCCATACTTAGGAAGAGAAATCGGAGAAGGCAATGGCAACCCACTCCAGTACTCTTGGCTGGAAAATCCCATGGACGGAGGAGCCTGGTAAGCTGCAGTCCATGGAGTCGCTAAGAGTCAGACACGACTGAGTGGCTTCAATTTCATGTGTTGGAAAGGAAATGGCAACCCACTCCAGTGTTCTTGCCTGGAGAATCCCAGGGATGGGGGAGCCTGGTGGGCTGCTGTCTATGGGGTCGCATAGAGTCGGACACAACTGAAGTGATTTAGCAGCAGCAGCAGCAGGAAGAGAAATACATGTCTACTTTCTTTCTGGAAGTTCTCTACTTTTCCATTTAAATATGTGAAAATATTCATTCTTATACCCTACATGTCCAATAACAGACCAATGTACCTTAAGGTATTTTATGAAACCACAAAATAATGATCATGAAAGAATCTTATATTTTTATTAGGAAAGAAAATGCTTAGATAACAGTGAAAAAATTAAAACTATATGCATATGCAACTATGATTACTACCATTATAGGAAAGAAAACTGGAAGTTCCCAAAATACAAACAATGGATATTTGGGGTATGGAATGATGAGTGATTTTTCCCTTTCCTGTGCCAAATTGAAAAAAAGGGAATCTAGTATTTTTATAATTAATATTTTCAAGTGTTTCTTCTCAGAATGATATATACACCTATCTTCTATGTTATATGACATTTTACATGAATTAGCTAATCTATTTGTATTCAAGGAGTTAAAAAATATCTTCCTTCTGGGTTTAGGCAAAATCAAACTACTGGCATGGGTTTAGACAATTACGTTGGCATCAAATGGTTATTATATTAACAGTAATGAGCTACAAGGCTGTATTTACCACACTAAAGGATGAAAACATTTTATTGGGGAGCAGCAAGAAAGCTTTACAGACTCCTAGAATATCACAAATAAGCAAGCAGGAGAGGAAATGACAAAATAGAGATACTTCGTGCATGCTTAGAGGACAATTTTAGAATACAAAAGCCTTCTTGACTTGAATTTCAAGTTTGGCTGTCCCTGATCGAAGCACCGTCTCCTTTCAAGGATTCTGCTGGCTTCCCTTCCTCCATCTGCTGTGCTGGGTGTTTAACCTTCAGGGACAGCTGTTTTCCACTGTGCAAATTATGTACGCTGAGCGTGGCTCACAAGTGTTGTTTGACGTGCTTGTTGCAGAACATGGGTTACAGGGAAGCCTGTGAAAAATCCATTTTTAACTAATCTCAACAGGGAGAAGCTGGATAAAATGTCAACTCAGAAAAAAATCATGCCAAAATTTGCCCTTCAAATTATATTTGGAAGAACACTATTTGCAGAATAACATTTGAATGAAGCCTGTTTTATCCCTGGACCCAGAATTGTCACTTCATGTTCACTGTAGCAGAGACAGTTGCATAAACTTCTACGTATTTTCTTTAGCTGGCAAATGCCATCTTATGTGTTACTGAATTTTGTTTTTTTCTTCTTCCAGTTTTATTGAGATATACTTGACATACAGCACTGTATAAATTTAAGGTGTATAGCATAATGATTTGATTTATATATGACATAAAATGATTACCACAATAAGTTTATTGAGCATCCATCAGCTCATACAGATACAAAGTAAAAGAAAAGGAAAAATATTTTTTCCTTGTGATGAGAACTTTTAGGATTTTCTCTCTTAACAGCGTTCATGTTAATATATCACATACAGCAGTGTTATTAATTCCATTGCTTTCTAATGCCTATTTAGGTCCCATTAGCCAAAAGTTATGTATATTTTGTCATTTGTCTAGTAGTTAAATCATTCAGTACCCTGGAATATTTCTTCTGAGTTTCCTTTAAGGGAAGTCAGGAGCAAAGCGGAACTCCCAGCTTGAAATGTTACATAATATATTTTTTCTGCCTTTGAAATTTAGAACATTTTGAACATTTCTATTGTCATGTGACTAGCCTTGCTGCTTTTCATCACTCTTTAAGAATGTCCTTTAACACCTTTAAGGAGGTTTGAACATGGCCAGACCTTTGGGAAACAGGATGGTCCTTCAAGAGCCTCTCTGTGACTCTGGGGGATTCTAAGAGTGCTTGTGTGGAACTTGCCTGCCGTCCTCGCTCTCCAGCAGCCCCCGGTACGTGTTGATCTCACACTCCAGCCGGGCCCGCACGTCCAGCAGCACCTGGTATTCCTGGTTCTGCCGCTCCAGGTCGCAGCGGATCTCGGCCAGCTGGTTCTCCACATTATCGATCAGACATTGTATCTTGGCCAGCTCCGAGCTGTACTGGGCCTCCGTCTCCGCCACGGTGCATTCCAGAGATTCTGTCTGCAGAAGGAAAGAGAGTGTAAATAAGGTGATTGTAGAACAACCTCTGGGGCCAGACTGCCCGTTTTCCAACCCTGCTCTACTCTTATCTTTCCAGCTATGTGACTTTGGAAAATTACTTAGCTTCTCTGAGCCTCAGTTTCTTTTCTTTTTTTTTTTTTTCAGTTTGGGCATTATTTATTTAGTATAAATACATTTAAAAAGCCCCAAATCTCCTACTATTTTACCACCCTGGAAACACCATGGTGTCAAAAGATCGAAGATTAACACCTGCTAGAGCCATCAGTCTGAACTCAGTTTTATTGTATAAAAAATGAAGAATGCAAAGTACCAATCTCATAGGCTGGTTGGAGGGTTAAATGAGTAAATATACATAAAGTGTCTAAAATAGTGCCTGGAAAATTTTAAAGGTCGTAAGAGTTATCATTACCACTATGACCTCTGCAACCTATAACATACTAGTGTAGCCTAAGGAGGATCAAAAGCATTTGAGAGAAAATGTTGTAATGGGCTCCTGGCTCCTGGTGTGGTTAAGAGAAAAGATTCTGAGATTGAACCACTTGGATTCAGCTTCCACTTTTGCCTCTTAAAACTTGCATGAACCCCTGTTACTTAATCTGAGCCTCAGTTTTCCTCATCTGTATAATGGGGTCAGTGGAGCGATTTACCCCATAAAGTAACTGTGAGAATTAAATTAGCATTGTGCCTCTCATAAGATGAATGCTCAGCTATTATTCACTTATATATTCTCTATAGGACCTAATGTGGCTCACACAGTAATGGAAATGCCTAGTGTAATCTTGAATACATGGTATTCTTGCTGCTTGGGTGAAGTGTGGTACAGAGAAGGGTCCAGCTGAGGTGTGGATCCTGGGAAAGTTTAGGATAGTTATAGAATGTAAAGTCTGAGTATCTTCATTTTAAATGTGATGGTGAGCTTGGAAAATTGGCTCAAATCAAAAAAAAGTTAGTGGGAGAAAATATTTGTGAATGATGAAAACAGCATCTCCAAAATTTGCAAGCAACAATTAAAAAAAAACAAACAAACAGCCAAATCAAAAAAATGGGCAGAGGACCTAAACAGACATTTCTTCAAAGGAGAGCCTTTGGTTTGTAAGTTCTCTCATTCTTCTCCTTCCTGTTCCCCCTCTCTCTTTGCCTCTGGAGCATGCTGCAGGATCATGCCCAACCCAAGAAAGAAAGGTCAGGACATCCTAGTGGTTCATTACAAACTGTTGACCTATCACTTCTGCTTCTAGCTGGGTAAACAGCATTCTTTAAAAAGGGAAGGAAATTCAGACCTTCTGCTGCATGAACTGTGGGTTTGTCCTTTGGGTTACAGAATAGGGGATAGTAAGTATCTTAAGCATGATTCTTCAGTGACAAAACAGAGTGGTCTTTCCCTTACACACCAGGCTCTGCTGTGCTTGAAGCTCAATTTCCAGAGTGTTGGCTGTGCGCTTCAGTTCCAAGATCTCCGTCTGGCAACCTTGCAGCTGCTCTGAGCTGGATAGCTGCTGCTGATTCAGTTCCTCTGTCTGAAATACAGGCATGATTAGAATATGCAAATTAGGAAGAAGTCTGGATGCCTGTCATTTTATTGCTCCAAGTGCCAACCTGAACAGCGAACCATTCTTCCACGTCTCTGCGGTTGTTGGCCAGCACAGTTTCATACTGACAACGCATCTCATCCAAGACCCTGTTGAGATCCGTGGTGGGGGCAGTGTTTAGTTCCACACTGAGTCGGTCACCCAGCTGTCCACGAAGCACGTTGACCTCCTGAGTTGGAAATGGAGTAAAGAATGTCCGACTGGTGGGTAAAAAATTCAACGTGACATACCAACAGCACCCCATTTCTGTTTTTTGCAGTAGTAAGTAAAAGTGTGAGATTTAGATTCAGACTGCCTAGCTTGAGTCTCCTTTCATCACTCAGTTTTCTCATCTGTGAAATAGGTATGATTTTACCTTTATAAGAGAGTTATTGTGAGATAATGAGAGTTTATATTCATAGTAAACACTTAAACAAGTCCTAAGTGCTTCGTAAGGTCTCAATGTTAGTTACTATTATCATAAACAAGTGTTCAAAGGGAAGATATGCTCTGTAACATCATTCAGCTTTTCATTTTTCAGCTTCATAAATATAGGATAATGATATAATTCACAGTTGACGATTTCAAAAAGTTTATAAATGCAGAATATTAAAAAAATTAGTCTAAATATTGCATGAGTCTTTTCTCCTTTATGAAACAACCTTCACACTCTGCAATTATCAGCTTGATTTTCATACTTAATGGGTTAGAGATAAGAGTGGCATAAAACATCCAGGAAAGCTATTTATGGAGCTACCTCCTCCCCCAAAATAATGGCAGGTGAAGTTCCTCCATTTGGCACTGGCCAGTGGCCATTTCATGTTTACATTCAGAGAGACACCAGAATGATCAGGCTGAATAGTAACAGTGCCTAGAGTGATTTTCTTCCACATCAATCAACATCTACTCAAGTTCTAGGTATATACACAACATGAGCTTAACTTTGTCACTTTGAGAGCCCTTCAGTGATTTTACCATTTTCCTCACCTCTTCATGGTTTTTCTTAAGGCAAAGGAGATCATCCTTCAGAGACTCCACATGGGCCTCCAGATCAGATCTGCACACAGTCAGCTCACCCAGAATCCCACGCAGGCCACTAATGTCAGTCTCTACCAGCTGGCGAAGAGAGAGTTCAGACTCGTACCTTTTACAGCAAAAAAGATACAGCCAATGCTTACTCTGCTGGACACTGGGAAAAGTGCTGAGGTATACAGATGACAGACGCATGACATCAAGGACCCACATGCCATACTTTCTTCTACACCCCAAATCATGAAAAATTCAAGCTTTATGAGCATTCTTAGCTTGAAAAAATATTACAAAGGGGATATTTGTGATGTGTACATGTAGGTATGTGAGAGAAGAAGAGAAAGAGCCTATCATCTATTAAGCTCAAATTCAGATCTGGTCTTACTCGAGCTTGTACTTGCTGCTAAGTCCACAATATAATCAGCTCATACAACTCAATATCAGAGAAACAAACAGTCCAGTCAAAAAAATGGGCAGACCTAAACGGACATTTTTCCAAATAAGAGATACAAATGGCTAATAAACACGTGAAAAGATGCTCTACATCTCTCATTATTGGAGACATGTAAATCAAAACTACAGTGAGGTACCACTTCACACCAATCAGAATGGCCATCATCAAAAAAACTACAAACAATAAATGCTGGAAAGGATGTAGAGAAAAGGGAACCTATATGCACTGTTGGTGGTATGGCTGCTATGGAGAACAGTATGGAGATTTCTTAACAAAGTGAAATAAAACTACCATATGACCCAGCAATCCCACTACTGGGTATATACCCTGAGAAAACCACAACTCAAAAAGACACATGCACTCCAGTGTTCATGGCAGCACAATTTACTGTAACTAGGACACGGAAGCAACCTAGATTTCCACTGACAGATGAATGGATAAAGAAGTTGTGATGATACATACAATGGAATATTACCCAGCCATAAAAAGGAAAAAAATTTGAGTCAGTTGTAGTGAGATGGATAAACAAATAGCCTGTTATACAGAGGGAATCATTAATAAGTCAGAAAGAGAAAAACAAATATTGTATATTAATGTGTATATATATGGAATCTAAAAAAATAGTATTGATGAACCTATTTACAGAGAAGAAATGGAGATGCAGATGTAGAGAATGGTCTGGCGGACACAGCAAGGGGAAGGAAAGGGTAGGACAAACTGAGAAAGTAACATTGACATATATACACTATGTGGGGTAAAAATAAATAGCTAATGGGAAGCTGTATAACACAGGGAGCCCAGCCTTGTGCTCTGTGGTGACCTAAAGGGGTGGAGTTGTGGAGGGAGAGGCTCAAGAGAAAGTGGATATATATATGCTGCTGCTGCTAAGTCCCTTCAGTCGTGTCCGACTCTGTGCGGCCCCATTGGCTCCCCCGTCCCTGGGATTCTCCATATAATTATGATTGGTTCATGTTGATATATGGCAGAGACTACCACAACATTGTAAAGCAATTTCCTCCAAGAAAAAAAGTTCAAATGAAACTTACTTTGACCTAAAGTCATCAGCAGCCAGTTTGCAGTTGTCAAGCTGTACGGCAAGTCTACAATTCTCCGCCTTCGTACACAAGATCTGGGAAGTAAGTTACTCTGTCATGAACGGTTCTTTGAGAGAAACCCACATATCTACTCATTTAATAACCATGCCAGTGTTTATCTTTTAAAAGTCTTTATAAGAAAATATAAAATAGCTTCCAGCATGCTTTTATTGACCACATCATTTCATGAAGGCCAATTTATAAACAAAATTAGAGAAATAAAAAGGTTTATTTTTTTAATGACCTAAAACATTTTGCAGTGTTCCTTGGCCACTGAATTTATGTAGATTTCTCTCTAGGAGTTTATATTATGACTGCATCCCCATCCATGATAATAAAAATTTATCAGTAAGAAAAGGACATAATTACTAGGTAAAATTATATGATTAAAAAGATGGCATTTCCATATCTATGTTAAATATTGTACATGTACAGTGTTACACACAGAAATAATTTTAGATATAGCAGTGCTTTTCCTCATTCTGTAGCTGATAAAGGTAAATTTAGAGATAAAGGAGTTTATTATGGTCACTTAGTAATTAGTGGCAGCATAGAGCCTAGTGCTGATGTTTACTGACTTTTCCCCCTCTCAATTCTTTTTGGCCATGCCGCATGGCATGTGGGGTCTTAGTCCCCCACCCGGGATGGAACCTGAGCCCTCTGCAGTGGAAGAACAGTGTCTTAACCATCGGACCACCAGTCACCCTGTTTGCTGACTTTTGGTCCTCTACCCTTTCCTCTGCATCACATTACCTCTGGAAAGTCCCTCCCCTTTCCCTGGTTCCCCTCCATAGAACAGACTCTTATAATATGAACATAAAGCACATCAGAGGCTGGGAAGGTGGAACTTTAGGGCCATGAGATACTAGACCTTTTGTTGGAGATCTTCAATGGTGTCGAAGTAACACTGATAATCAGGGCACTCCAACGGGACATCCTCTTCACACTGTTCTCGGATCCTGCTTTCCAACTCGGCATTCAACTCCTCCAGCCCGCGCACCTTCTCCAGATAGCTGGCGAGCCGGTCATTCAGGAACTGCATTGTCTCCTTCTCGTTGCTGGTGAACACACCATCCTCACACCAGGCACAGTTCCCCAGCAAACACGGGATATTACAACTCCCAGCAAAGCAGGACGGCGGGAGGCACCCAGCTGGCAAGCGAGACCCGGATAGAAAGCTGGGGGTCTGGCAGCTGGATGTAGCACAGGCGCTGGGGAGACTAGTGGTTTCAACGGAACAGGTTGAAGTAAGCGCACAATCAGAAGCCCTGGCACTCGATTCAGAAGAGCAGCCCGTGGGGGGACAGTCAGAAGCCATACTATCAGAAGTGAAGGACAAAGACTAGCTGCAAAACTCCAGTGGCCCGCCTCCAAAACTCTCATTCCCTCCCGAGACTTTTATATATACCCCAATTCAGATGGGTATTTACAGACTACACAGGATGTTTTCCGGTGCCAGTTTTCATATGAACATTCATTAGTGTTGTTTATTTGCTGAAGAGGAGTTTTATGCTTCGTAAAAGAGGCATAACTTCAGGTTACTAAATAAGGATGCCATCTCCCTGTGCCAATAGGATAAAGCACTGGCTTCAGAAAATCTTCATAGGAAGCATTGTCCTTTTGACAGAATAAGGAAAGAAAGAGAAAATTTGGCAATCAGTAATTGTAGATACAACTGATTACACATAAGGGATATAATATTCCTCAGATTTTGATCCTGTGCATTGAAAACTGCTCATGTCTTCTTTTGAAATTAATATTACAACTCATTGAAATGCCATTTGTTTGTGCCACCACCATAAAAGTGTTCTGTGTGATTAGTAATCTTCAATGTTTTTTGTGGTCTTGCGGTGCTCACATGGTGGAGGAGTGAGTGTGTACTGAATTCGAAGTGTGTATGTGAGAACCATACATGCCCGTGTGCAAACTGAAAAGTCACTTTACATAACTGATGGGCATCACTTTTGCCCTACATGCCAAAATAGAAATTGGTTATCAAAACATGGAGTTGTGATCTTTGATTTCCTGAAACTTGCCTTCTCCACTTTTCCTATGCCTCAATTTTATATCAGAAATACTGATTTTTATCTGTATCTCTAATAATGAAATACAAATTCTGTTATAATTTTTTAGTCTTAGGAAGCTAAACCTTTGTTAACTACACTTCAGTATAGAAGGAAGAAAGTTACAAAAGGCATTTCTTCTGGGACATGGAAGCTGTTTTCTCTTATTTACTTATTTATTTAATTTTGAAGGCCTCAATTTCGTGAAAATTAAAAGTGCTGGAACTTGGAAATAAAATTCTATTGTATGGGTTCCAGCAATTCCATTGGATGAAATCCCTGGGGCAGTACTGAATGGATAGGAATCTGATATGTAAGTTTTCTGGGTTCTTTCTTAAGTTTTACCTCCAATTTTCAGTTTTCTTGCCTTTGATCATGGTATTTATTTCATTTTAAAAAGTGTACAGAGCAAATTGTCTGCAGAAAGTTCAAGATCTTTATGGGGTGGGCATAGCCCATTACTCCGACAAAGTTAAAATTTTCATGATTCAGAATAATCAATTTTTTTCTAACTCTGAGCACTTCTTCATTAAGTAGCTGATAATGGAAAAACAACCAATCAACCAAAACCAAACCTGGAGACTTTAGATAGAGGATTAACACAGTCTCTTAGGATTTATTATTCACTGAGCAAAGTTGGTTTTGATTTTAGTAATTCTCCTTATATTTCAACACTATGCTAAAAGTTCTTTTTTTTTTCCATTTATTTTTATTAGTTGGAGGCTAATTACTTTACATCATTGCAGTGGTTTTTGTCATACATTGAAATGAATTAGCCATGGATTTACATGTATTCCCCATCCCGGTCCCCCCTCCCACCTCCCTCTCCACCCGATCCCTCTGGGTCTTCCCAGTGCACCAGGCCTGAGCACTTGTCTCATGCACCCAACCTGGGCTGGTGATCTGTTTCACCCTAGATAATATACATGTTTCGATGCTGTTCTCTTGAAACATCCCACCCTCGCCTTCTCCCAGAGTCCACAAGTCTGTTCTATACATCGGAGTCTCTTTTTCTGTTTTGCATATAGGGTTATCATTACCATCTTTCTAAATTCCATATATATGTGTTAGTATAATGTAATGGTCTTTATCTTTCTGGCTTACTTCGCTCTGTATAATGGGCTCCAGTTTCATCCATCTCATTAGAACTGATTCAAATGAATTCTTTTTAATGGCTGAGTAATATTCCATGGTGTATATGTACCACAGCTTCCTCACCCATTCATCTGCTGATGGGCATCTAGGTTGCTTCCATGTCCTGGCTATTATAAACAGTGCTGCGATGAACATTGGGGTGCACGTGTCTCTTTCAGATCTGGTTTCCTCGGTGTGTATGCCCAGAAGTGGGATTGCTGGGTCATATGGCAGTTCTATTTCCAGCCTTTTAAGAAATCTCCACACTGTTTTCCATAATGGCTGTACTAATTTGCATTCCCACCAACAGTGTAAGAAGGTTCTCTTTTCTCCACACCCTCTCCAGCATTTATTGCTTGTAGACTTTTGGATAGCAGCCATCCTGACTGGCGTGTAATGGTACCTCGTTGTGGTTTTGATTTGCATTTCTCTGATAATGAGTGATGTTGAGCATCTTTTCATGTGTTTTTTTGCCATCTGTATGTCTTCCTTGGAGAAATGTCTGTTTAGTTCTTTGGCCCATTTTTTGATTGGGTCATTTATTTTTCTGGAGTTGAGCTGGAGGAGTTGCTTGTATATTTTTGAGATTAATCCTTTGTCTGTTGCTTCGTTTGCTATTATTTTCTCCCAATCTGAGGGCTGTCTTTTCACCTTGCTTATAGTTTCCTTTGTTGTGCAAAAGCTTTCAAGTTTCATTAGGTCCCATTTGTTTATTTTTGCTTTTGTTTCTAAAATTCTGGGATGTGGGTCATAGAGGATCCTGCTGTGATTTATGTCGGAGAGTGTTTTGCCTATGTTCTCCTCTAGGAGTTTTATAGTTTCTGGTCTTACATTTAGATCTTTAATCCATTTTGAGTTTATTTTGTGTATGGTGTTAGAAAGTGTTCTAGTTTCATTCTTTTACAGGTGGTTGACCAGTTTTCCCAGCACCACTTGTTAAAGAGGTTGTCTTTTTTCCATTGTATAGCCTTGCCTCCTTTGTCAAAGATAAGGTGACCATAGGTTCGTGGATTTATCTCTGGGCTTTCTATTCTGTTCCATTGATCTATATTTCTGTCTTTGTGCCAGTACCATACTGTCTTGATGACTGTGGCTTTGTAGTATAGTCTGAAGTCAGGCAGGTTGATTCCTCCAGTTCCATTCTTCTTTCTCAAGGTTACTTTGGCTATTCGAGGTTTTTTGTATTTCCATACAAATTGTGAAATTATTTGTTCTAGTTCTGTGAAAAATACCGTTGGTAGTTTGATAGGGATTGCATTGAATCTATAGATTGCTTTGGGTAGTATAGCCATTTTGACAATATTGATTCTTCCAATCCATGAACACGGTATATTTCTCCATCTGTTTGTGTCCTCTTTGATTTCTTTCATCAGTGTTTTATAGTTTTCTATGTATAGGTCTTTTGTTTCTTTAGGTAGATATACTCCTAAGTATTTCATTCTTTTTGTTGCAATGGTGAATGGTATCGTTTCCTTAATTTCTCTTTCTGTTTTCTCATTGTTAGTGTATAGGAATGCAAGAGATTTCTGTGTGTTAATTTTATATCCTGCAACTTTACTGTATTCATTGATTAGTCTAGTAATTTTCTGGTAGAGTCTTTAGGGTTTTCTATGTAGAGGATCATGTCATCTGCAAACAGAGAGAGTTTCACTTCTTCTTTTCCTATCTGGATTCCTTTTACTTCTTTTTCTGTCCTGATTGCTGTGGCCAACACTTGAAAAACTATGTTGAATAGTAGTGGTGAGAATGGGCACCCTTGTCTTGTTCCTAATTTCAGGGGAAATGCTTTCAATTTTTCACCATTGAGGGTGATGCTTGCTGTGGGTTTGTCATATATAGCTTTTATTATGTTGAGGTATGTTCCTTCTATTCCTGCTTTCTGGAGAGTTTTAATCATAAATGGATGTTGAATTTTGTCAAAGGCTTTTTCTGCATCTATTGAGATAATCATATGGTTTTTATCTTTCAATTTGTTATTGTGGTGTATTACATTGATTGATTTGTGGATATTAAAGAATCCTTGCATTCCTGGGATAAAGCCCACTTGGTCATGATGTATGATTTTTTTAATATGTTGTTGGATCCTGTTTGCTAGAATTTTGTTAAGGATTTTTGCATCTATGTTCATCAGTGATATTGGCCTGTAGTTTTCTTTTTTTGTGGCATCTTTGTCTGGTTTTGGAATTAGGGTGATGGTGGCCTCATAGAATGAGTTTGTAAGTTTACCTTCTTCTGCAATTTTCTGGAAGAGTTTGAGTAAGATAGGTGTTAGCTCTTCTCTAAATTTTTGGTAGAGTTCAGCTGCGAAGCCATCTGGTCCTGGGCTTTTGTTTGCCGGAAGATTTCTGATTACAGTTTCGATTTCCTTGCTTGTGATGGGTTTGTTAAGATCTTCTATTTCTTCCTGGTTCAGTTTTGGAAAGTTATACTTCTCTAAGAACTTGTCCATTTCTTCCAAGTTGTCCATTTTATTGGCATAGAGCTGCTGGTAGTAGTCTCTTATGATCCTTTGTATTTCAGTGTTGCCTGTTGTGATCTCTCCATTTTCATTTCTAATTTTGTTAATTTGGTTCTTCTCCCTTTGTTTCTTAATGAGTCTTGCTAATGGTTTGCCAATTTTGTTTTTTTTTTTCAAAAAACCAGCTTTTAGCTTTGTTGATTTTTGCTATGGTCTCTTTAGTTTCTTTTGCATTTATTTCTGCCCTAATTTTTAAGATTTCTTTCCTTCTACTAACCCTGGGGTTCTTCATTTCTTCCTCCTCTAGTTGCTTTAGGTGTAGAGTTAGGTTATTTATTTGACTTTGTTCTTGTTTCTTGAGGTAGGCCTGTAATGCTATGAACCTTCCCCTTAGCACTGCTTTTACAGTGTCCCATAGGTTTTGGGTTGTTGTGTTTTCATTTTCATTCATTTCTATGCATATTTTGATTTCTTTTTTGATTTCTTCTATGATTTGTTGGTTATTCAGAAGCGTGTTGTTTAGCCTCCATATGTTTGAATTTTTAATAATTTTTTTTCCTGTAATTGAGATCTAATCTTACTGCACTGTGGTCAGAAAAGATGACTGGAATGATTTCAATCTTTTTGATTTTACCAAGACTAGATTTATGGCCCAGGATGTGA